ATAATTTATATATATAAATACTTATATATTATACATATAAAGCAATAATATATATACACATATATACATATATACATATATATAATTATATATATATAATTGCAAACTTTCTAACCTAACAGGACTTAAAAGATGTGGGTAGAAGCCAATCGTGTGACATTGCCCTCTTGCCTGAGAATCGAGGGAAAAATCGATACAACAACATATTACCCTGTAAGTTTTGTGTTGGAATTTGTGATGCTACTGTATAAAACCTATGTGAACAGTGTGTGTATGTGTGTGTGTGTGTGTGTGTGTGTGTGCATATTTGTGTGCATGTGTAGCACAGTTGCGTATGTACACTCTTGGGCTCTAAATGAATTTAATAAAGAATAATTCAAATGCACTTCTCTCCCAGGAGTAATGGCTACCCGGGTTGCTTTCCCCCCTCATCCTTCTTATCTTTCTCCTTGGAGCCTCAGAGAATTAGCAGACTTGAAAGCGGGGCTCCGGCAGACTCCCTTAGGTTCACTTTGTAGTCTCCAGTCAGTGATTTTTAAAGAAGTGCAGCCTGCCCTATCAGGCAAAAGCAATCGAAGGTAGTTGAAAAAATATTCATTCTAGAAGTGAGAGAGAGCTGGCCACCGCATTAAGCAAGTCTAATGTTGCAAACCATAGCTGGGCTTCACGTTGTCTCCTGTGCCCGTCATTCATGTGCTGCCCGTGTCTCACGTCCCAAGTTAGTTACCCTGCTGGAGCCCCACCTATTAAACAGAGACAGGGCCACTTCTCTTGAGGCTGCTGTGGGGATCAGAGATAAAGCAATCTAATGTCGCACTGCACAAATGGAAAATTCACCCCGAGACATGGCAGCAAGTCTGTCCTTTATCTCTTCCAGATGACGCCTCGAGAGTGAAGCTCTGTAACGTGGACGATGACCCGTGCTCGGACTACATCAACGCCAGTTACATCCCCGTAAGTGAACTCCCAGGTCCCAGTGCCCAGGATGGCGCTTTGGTGACACACACACACAGGAGATGCCAACTCCTTCTGAGCTGCCCTACCCCTCTGCCTATCAACATTTTGCAAAATTTAAAAGACCATGTCTGGTTGCATAAAATACAGGCTGTTACTTGGACCTTTGGCAAACACACACACACACACACACTTCAAAGTTGTATTAGCTTCTGGGATCTGATACTGGCTTCTGTCTTGCCAGCCTCCCACGTGCACCACAGAGAAAGAGGCGTTAAAGGTCAGAAAAACTCAGATTTGAATTCTACTTCTGTCCCTGGCTGTTTCTATGACACAGCAAATTCTGTTGTTGTGTCCCTTGTTCCTTTCCCGAAAATACCTCAAATTATCATCTAGACATTTGATAAATGCTAGCTAATTAAATAACTATAATCCAAACACTGAGATATATAAAGGGGTCGTATCTCTATGAGAACTGTTCAACAGTCAAATCCTGAAGAGTTACAGGGCAGTGTCATGCTGGTAACACCAGAACAGTGTCTCCTATACAAACGAACGCCAACATCATACAGACTTCAACACCATCTATAGCAGAAATAGGCAGAGCCTGGGGATTCTGCGTTTCTAACAAGCCCCTGTGTGGTCCTATCCCTGCCAGTCAGAACCACGCTGGGTAGCAGAGATTAGAGACAGCTGACTTCAGTCAAACAGACAAGGTGCTAAGGATAAATAAAGATTAGCCAGCTGAGAAGCAGCGTGTGGGAGGTTCAGTTGTGGACAGCAGAGCTGATGGAATACAGAGATCTCGAAGGAAGGCGTTGACACAGTGAGCTTTCACTAAGACTTACAAGTAATCCTGTATTGCTGAAGTGAAGAATGAATTAACGAAAATGCCTAGGCCACCATGGTTAGCATTAAGTCAGATCCTTGAAAGTCTAGACCCACTGCACACTATTCGGTAGAAGCCCTGGCATCAAGGGCTCGTTTTCCATTAAGTTTCCTTTGCAGGAGACCTTTTTCTGATTTGTTGTTATGTCAATAATCCAAAAAGACTTAAATCCGTTCCCTGAATAGTCACACACACACCACACACACACACACACAGAGAGAGAGAGAGAGAGAAAGAGAGAGAGAGAGAGAGAGAGAGAGAGAGAGAGAGAGAGAGGTACACATAGACACACATACACTAAACACACACTTATGCTAAATATACATGCAGGTACACATAGACACATACACAGGTATACACACACAGGTACACAGAGACACACACTAAACACACACACACCAAACACACACAGGTACACGTAGACACACACACACTAAACACACATACATACA